TTATGTTTACATTCTTGTTCATTCTCTACTACGAGGAGGTGGTTTGCTAGCTGTGTTGTGGCTCGGCCTGGGCACCTCGAGCGACTTAAAATTGCGGTGTCGTCAGCGAAGGTAGATGTTGTTAGCTGCTCGTTCGTGGGAATATCCGCTGTGATAGGAGGAACAGAGTAGGCCCTAGCGCGCTTCCTTGCGGGACTCCAGCTTTGATATTGTAGTCGTCGGATGTTGTTGTATTGTACCTTACTGCGAAGGTCCTGTTGTATAGATACGACTCAAGAAGCTTGTGAGTGTAATCAGGTAAGTGTGTTTTGATTTTGTGCATGAGGCCATACTCGATCGAAGGCTTGAGATACATCGAGGAATATTGCGCTGCAGTATTCCCGATGCTCAAAGGCTGTGCGCATTTCTGATGTTATTCTGTTAACTTGTTCGATTGTTCCATGGTTTTGACGAAATCCAAATTGATGAGCAGGGATAACATTGTGTGCTCCTAGATATGGGGTTATGCGAGTTAGAAGGCATTTTTCGAACAGCTTAGACAGACACGATAATAGACTAATTGGTCTGTAGGATGACGGAATTGTGTGGTCTTTTCCGGGCTTCGGTATCATAATGATAATAGATTTTTTCCATTTTTTCGGATAGTAGCCGAGAGTTATAATCCCATTGAAGAGCTTACAAATAACCTCAATGGCAGAGTTTGGAAGTTCAATTAACATTTTTGGTGTTATTTGGTCACCGCCAGGGGCCTTTTTCGGTTTCAGTTCCTAAATGACTTTCGCGATCTGCTTTGGCTGAAACAATGGTGGTAGGGAAATAGATTCAGATTCGATTTGTGGTAGGAAAAATGAAATGGCAGGGTTCGGCTGGAAGACGTTTCTTAGATGTAAAGCAAAAGTTTCGGCTCTATCTTCGTCGCTGCGGGCCCAGACGCCAGATGAGTTTCTTATCGGAGTGACTGTTTCGATTGGAGAGCTCAGATTTGGGTGAGCCCTCCACAGAGGATGTTTTGTACTGGTTGGCGATAGTTTTTTTAATGTACTGCAGCTGTGCATTTTCTGTTTCTTTAGAGCTCGATTGGCGGACTGCCGCCCAGACTCTGCGCTCACACACCAGGAGCATCGTTGCCACGCCTTCGCCTGAATGGCTAAAGAAGGTAGAGTGGGCAAGGAAGGTGCTCCCAAACTACGGGCAGGAAAAGCCCACTCAAGAGGCGACTCAGGCGAAAAGGCAGCGATCCCTCGAACTACCCGGGCCATCGGCTAAGAGATCAAAGATCCAGCCATCGGTCTCTTTCGCCGAAATCACGAAGAATCGTGTACTACTCGGCCTGATTGACAGGAAAAATCCGGAGAGCAGGATCCCCAGAAACAAGTGGAAGGCAGTGGAGTCCCACCTTTCCCTCATTTGCCTGCGCATGGTACGAGAGAAGCCAGGCACCTCGCCCTGTTGCATGGACGCGGGCTGGTACCAGGGCAGCGTCAAGGTGGTAGCATGCGACAGTCAGCGGTCGGCTGATATGTACAAAGAGGCGACAAGCAAGCTCGGCGAGGTTTACGAAGGGGCGAACATCGTTGGGCTTGACTGGTGCGATGTCCCCAGTAGACCCCGAGCCAGGATCTGGATTCCAGCAGCGATCAAGACGCCGGAGGACATCCTCTTCATGTTGCAACAATGCAACCCGCACCTCCCCACGAAGGACTGGAAAGTCGTCAAGGTGGAGGAGCATGAAGGGGACGTCAACCAGGCGGTTTTGGTCCTGAACAAGGAGTCAGTAGCTCCGATCGAGACTGCTCGTGGAGTGCTGAACTTCGGGTTCAGTGCGATACACATCAAAGTGTATAAGGGCGACTCCAACGCCGCTAGCAGCTCTGCCGGCAACCCAGCCGAGCAGGTGCTTGCTGAGGAGTTGACGGCACCTGGTGGGCCGGAGGACGGCTACTCTACCGATTCGTCGCTAAGCAGAGAGATGCGAGCGCTCGGACCGGCAATCGAGGACGTAGACCTCAGCGACACAGAGGAGGCCGACGTCACTGTGGTGGAGGTTGTAGCTGTAGATGTCACTAAGACTTCTACAAATAAACCTTCACCACAGTAAAGCAGCGTCTGCTGCACTTCTGCTTCGCCTGACAGAAGGCGGAGCCGACCTAGTCCTCGTACAGGAACCTTGGGTAGTAGGAGGCAAGGTTGCTGGACTAGGAACAAAGGAATACAAGCTTATGCTTGACCCCAAAGAAGGTAAAATTCGAACCTGCATATTAGCCAAAAGGCATCTTAGTATATTTCTACTTCGCAATTACAGCAACGGAGACAACACCGCAGTAAGCCTGGAGCTGCAGAGTGGCTCTATAAGGGTTCTATCGGCCTATTTGGCCTTTGAGAAGGAAAACCCCCCAGATGCGCTGGTCAGAGGACTAGCAGAGCAATGCGAAAAGCTCAAGTACGGATTGGTAATAGGCTGTGACGCCAACGCCCATCACACCCAGTGGGGTTGCCCAAACAACAACGACAGAGGTGAGTCTCTTTTTGATTTTATTCAAAATTCGAACCTATTCTTATGCAATAGGGGCAATGCCCCTACTTTCATAACTAAAGCTTGCCAAACGATCATAGATCTAACTTTGGTATCAGATTCACTCGTAGGCGCAGTCAAAAACTGGGCAGTCTCTGACGAGCACTCCTTCTCGGACCATAGATTCATAGAAACCGTATTGTCCCTTGATTCGCCCTTGCCGGTCAGCTTCGCCAACCCCAGACGAGCAGACTGGCACAGGTACAAATAAGTTCTGACAAATATCCTCCCCATGGAACCGTCAGAAAGCATCACAAACCCACATGAGCTGGACGAAACAGTATACAAATTCACAGAGGCATGCAACACTGCCTTCAAAGTGGCATGCCCCACAGAGAAACCCCCTGGTGGACCCAACAACTATCTATCCTCAGAACCAACTGCAGATGCCTGTTTAACAGAGCAAAGGCGGGAAATGAGGACACCAATTGGCTGAACTACAAGTTTGAACTAGCCTCTTACAAAAAGGCCATTAGAAGAGCAAAACGAATGGCATGGCAGACCTTCTGCTCTGACATAGAAAAAACAACTGATGCCGCAAGGCTCAGGAAAATACTCTCTAAGACAGCCGCGCCTTTGGGCTATCTTCAAAAAGCAGATGGATCATGGTCAGACTCCAGTAAAGAGTCCTTGGACCTGCTCCTAGACGCTCACTTCCCGGGGAGCCAACAAGCAGGTCATCCACCTGAAAGAGGAACAGGAGAGGGAATCGAAATAGACGTTGCCATCATCTTTAATGGAAAATATCCACAAACACTTTGCGATCTTATGACCGCTAAACTTAAAATGCTATCGGAATGGACGATAGCGAGCGGACTCGGGGTAAATCCCTCGAAAACAGAACTTGTTCTATTTACGAATAGGTACAAAATTCCTCAACTTAACCCACCCATTTTAAACAATTGTAATCTCTCCTTTAGCGATCGAGCCAGGTACTTGGGGTTAGTACTAGATAAACGCCTCAAATGGGGCTTAAACAACCAAGAGAGAACCAAAAAAGCGACCATTGCACTTTACTCCTGTAAAAAAGCGATCGGGCTAAGATGGGGCATGTCCCCAAGAATAGTTAACTGGATATACACAGCGGTAGTCAAGCCAATCCTACTGTACGGAGTGGCTCTGTGGTGGACCGCCTTACACAAACAATGCATACTGACTCCACTAAACAAAGTACAGCGAATGGCGGCTTTGTGTATTAGTGGAGCCCTTCGAACCACCCCGAATGTAGCGCTGAATGCGATCTTGAACCTCCCTAGCCTGGACTTAGCAGGCATGGAAAGGGCCAAATCGGCAGCTATTCGACTGTGGGACACAGGGCAGTGGAATGCCCAATTATATGGCCATGCTAAAATTCTCCAGCATGATAAATCGATTCCGAAAATCACGGATCTATGCAAATCTATTGAATATAGTCACACACCCATTGAGGCCCTGATTCCTGATAGAGAGGAATGGGAACAGGGCCGACCGGGCACGACGGACGCAATCTGTTTCTATACAGATGGCTCCAAATTAGAAGGACAAGTCGGCGGAGGTGTATACTCCGAACAATTAGATATCAAGAAGTCATTCAGGCTCCCGAACGACTGTAGCGTCTTTCAGGCGGAGGTCCACGCTATAAAAGAAGCACTAACCTGTTTAAGGAACCTTAGCCTCCAGAGAGGACACCTAGACATATATAGTGACAGCCAAGCGGCTATTAAGTCGATCTACTCGACAAACACCAATTCTCGTACAATAGCAGACTGTCGCAGATCTCTCCACGAGATGGCAAATCAGTTTACTATCAGCCTAATATGGGTTCCGGGTCACCGGGACATCGTAGGCAACTGCATAGCGGACGAATTAGCCAGGCAGGGCACCACCAAGCCTCTCCTACCAGGAGAGGAAAATGTCGGTATGCCCATGGCTACTTGCAAGCTAAACATAAAAAACCACTTCAACACACTAGCCAACACCCATTGGCAAAACGCACCACAGTGTCGCATCTCTCACCAGACATGGCCTGTGATAAACAACAAGAAAACCTCGGAGTTACTCAAGCTCAGCCGCACAGAGTGTGGCATGTTGATCCGAGCTCTTACAGGCCACTGGCTTGTTGGCGCGCATGCCGGCAGGCTAAAAGCCCCGCAAAATGATGAGGAAGAAGTGGAAACGGTAGAACACCTTCTCTGCTTCTGCCCAGCCCTATGCAGACTCAGACTGAAACACTTAGGAAGCCCCTTCATCGACGATCTTACCGAAATATCGGAGATTAATCTCAAAAGCATAAGTGCCTTTATTAAATCTTCCGGGTGGAAAACATGCTGATCAGCTTAACACAGGCCGAAACTACTAAAAACGGGACTCTAGAGAAGAAAAACGAGGTCATGCGGTATCACAATGGTCCCATTGAGGTCTAGGTGTGTCGGACTATAGTCCGACAGCCGCCCTAACCTAACCTTACCTAACCTACTAATGAGTATGCTTGTTTTAACATAGGTTTCGTGATGTCCAAGTGTAGATCGTAGTTATTCTCTAATGTGCTTGTCCCTCTTTGTCAGCAAAACGTTTTATGTAGTTTAATTATAAGTAATACAATGTATTACTCTGGAAGGAACCACTTTAAATACCCAGAGTGTGTCACACCAGATGGTTGTTTATTGAAGTAGCTGTTTCACGAATATTGGAACAATGACAGGAGTTAAAAGTACAGTTTTCTCTTGCGGCAAAAAAAGAAAAATGTCATAAGGCCAAATTACTATGTACATTCCATGTTTGACGACAATGTAAGCTACATATATTTAGTTTTATTAAAACCAATCCTAATGGAAATGCAAAAAGTCAAGAAGTGCTTTCAAAGCAATAACACTGACGCGACGCGCTTGCTAAAAGGTCTTGTTTTATCCATTAATTCGATAAAAAAGCACATTATTCCACCAGATTGTAATATGGACAAAATAATAGATGATAATTTTGAGGAATATGTTGTCAAAGATTTATATCAAGGATATACATTTGAAAAGCAAATTGAAATGCTTCAGATGGATAATGATTCGGAGAAATCTATTCGAGAGTGCTGCACTAATTTTTAAGGTGAGCTTGTAAAGCCACAAAAGCTGAGGTAACTATACCCTTTTATATTTTTACAAAATACAGCAAATTAAAAACCATAATTAATTACAGGCTACCTAACAACCTCAAGATTCTGCAACAAATTGATATATTTTCCGTTCACAATATTTTATGTCCAAAAAAATCCAACATTGTTCCCAATTTGGAAGAGTTTTCTGTTGAAGAAATCGACAGAATCCAGCGCCAATACAATGATATACATCTATTAAAATGGGAGAACATTGACGTTTCAATAAAGTTTTGGGAGGAGGTAAAACTTTTTAAGGACTCTGGGGGCATAGAACGATTTTCTGAATTATCTTTGTTTGCGATTTAGATGTTGTCCTTGCCGTGGTCCAACGCTGAAGTAGAACGTTCGTTTACATTGTTTACGTTCGTAAACATTGTAAAATCAAAACTGAGAAATAGAATGGACTTTACCACTCTTAACTCAATATTGTGCATAAGGTAAGCGCCAATTTGGTATAAACTTAATTATAAAAAGAAAAAACTTATATAATTCGTCTGATTACAGATATGGGTTGCGAAGGCACAAAAAATGTTGCGTAGACTATAAAGTCCCCTTAGATTTTATGAAGCTTATAGGCACAAACAAGGATATAAATGATGATACGGTTGATGTTGAAGATGACATATTAAATATATTATAATTAAATAATTATTAAGCACACATTTTCCTTAATACTAAAAAAAACATTATTTTGTACTCATGTTAATAGAAAGCTAAAGGAAAAAGCTGGTGCCCATTTTGTTCAGGTTTTTTTTCGAAATACAGATATTTGTATTTTCTTTAATAGCAAAGTATGTTTGAAAATCTTTGCGTTTTTATTCAGCTTTTTCGGCAAACAAAACAGCTTTTTTACCACCCTTACCAGCCAATGTTGGCAACACTGATAAGCGGCCCCACCGCTGAAAGCTGGGTCAGTCATCAAGAATCAGAAAGTCAAGGAGAAACAGCCGTGAAAGAGCAGGATCGCTACGTTGAGACGTTTGGGATTGCATTAGTCACCGAATTGACAAACAGGTAGCTGAGGTTCTTAGAGGCTATGTTGAGTGGAGACTCGGTCGAATGTGGCGAGGACTGCCTTAGCTACGTCGGACGGTTAGCCGAATAGTTAAGTAGGAACTGAGGAACTGAACGCCCTCAAACCGCCTGGCTCCTACATTTTAGCTGAAATGTATTTGTCTCGTCAATACCTATCAATTGACCCAAAAAAAGTTTGCCACGCCCACTCTAACGCCCATAACCCTTAATTCTATCAACCGGCAACATAATTATATATTAAGATCGCGGGTACTTGGCGCATTTTTTTCTCGCTTTGCTGCTTGCATTATCTCCATTTCCCTTTGGTCACTTTAGCTGAGTAACGGGTATCTGATAGTCGAGGTACTCAACTATAGCGTTCTTCCTTGTTGGTATTGAAGGCGATCCATCTCAACGAGAAACCGTAGGCTCGGGAAGAGTACAGAAGAATAGTCTAACAACGTGAGATGGTTGCCCGAATTGTTAGGCAGGGCCGACTTTTCCTGTTGATCCTGACTTTGACTATTGGCTGAGGCGCGTTGACGGATGCAAAATCAAGACTCGGTCGCAGAGCAAGTACATCACCGAGCGGGGAGAACTAATTCTCCGAGCAGAGCAAGACGTCGACAGCAGTACGCCACACGCAAGATCGGCAAGGGAGGCACCCAGAACCAGCGCACGCCTTAGGTACGACTGCAACAATCTTAAGGGAAGGCTCGGGTGGGATGTTCGTCTTTAACTGGGCGGTCGATACATGGACTTCTGTCGTATACTGGAGGGTTGCCCGGAGCGTCAAAGAGAACTGAGTGAGCGTCTGGCGGGACCGGCCAAGACAGAGTAAGGGACAGAAAGCTGTGGCTGGCAAGGCGGTTGTCTTGAAAGCTAAGCGCCTGTTCACCCTGGTCTCAATTCAAGTCTCAATTCTAGTCTTCAATTTATTTATTTAGTAGATCGTATAATAAATTTTCGTCATAAAAGTTGATATTATAACTTTTGTTTGTTGAAGGTGCAATCGGCTCTAGATTTTTACCTCATTAAGAGGTGTTTTTATTTGATATCAGAAGTTTTTGGTTCAAATATCAATCATATAATTAATTTAATCTCCCGTTTAAGTTTAAGTTTCTTATATGGAAGTGTTAATGGCAATTTAAATGATTCCATGACCCTAAAATGGCGTTTGGATACACAAATACAAAATTCAATGTTGTCCAAAGTTGAGGAATCTCAAGGGCTATGCACTTTAAGGATTAGTCTAAAGTCATTGAAGCGGTGTTTGAAAAATCAAAAAATGCTAAAAAAAAAGAATCGAAAAAAAAAAACTGTTGCCCATAATTATAATCGTGTTAGAATAACTTAAAAAGTATTTTAAAACACCATTCTAACGTCTAAACTTGTGCGTTTTTCCCCAACGGCCCCAACAGATCAAATTTTTTATATTTCTCAGCGTTCTCAGCTAAGAATTGTTTATGAAGAGTTTGTTTATAAATTGGGTAAAGAGGCTAGGATCATGAGCTGGATAACTCTCTCCCTTCTAAATTGAATCGTCCCGACTCATTGGAAGTGTCGGATAAACTGAATTTAGATAATTTGTCAATACGACTATAATTTCATCCTCAGTGGTATTTTCATTTTCGGACATAATATTTTCGATATGAATTTGCCGTGGCTTGAATATTAGATATTTTTTGAATTTAAGTACAAGCAATACATATATTAAAGTTAATATGATCAGTATTAACGTTATTGGAATTTGTGTTTGTTTAATTTGAATAAACGAGTTTAATATGTTAATGTTATCAAATGAAAGTTCCGAATCATTTGACATAACATATTCGGATACTAAAAAATCATTATACTGTTTAGCAGTGATATATTCTGTTATCTTATGGTCAAGATTAGAGTAGGGTATATTATTTATTGTAGTAGTACTATTAAAAGTAATTAAAATAAATAATTTAAATGAGTATCATTAACAGTATTATAACCATTTATAAAAATGGCTTGTAACGAACTGATTTTTTGTGTCTGCTCGCTACGAGATTCGTGCGGCTAGCTCAGAAGATTGTGTGTTCGTCCCACCAAATTAATATGACGTGATTGCCCGTAGATCAGTGAGAAAACAAAGGGTTCAAATGGTAACAGTGGGATTTATTCTCGTGGTATTAGTACAGCGGGTGTGTGGCTGGGTTGGCTTCGGTATCTCCTGGCTCTGGTTCCGCCGGCTGCTGGCGCTCCTCTTTCTGGCTCCTCGACGCGTTGACTCGGCTTCCACTGGATCCTGGGCTTCGGGACGCTCGTAGTGGCCGCTTCTGCTTGCTTGCCGACGCGCTGCCTCGGGGTCGCTTGTTGCGCCTTAGACCCGCTGAGAGTTCGGCCTTGTGGGCTTAGGGAAGCGTCACCGTTCTCAGACTAGGGTGAACAAGCCTTGCTCTTCAGGCCGACGCCTTTCGAGGCAATAGCTGTCCCTTGCTCTGTCCCGGACAGTCCCGCTAGGTTCTTGCTCAGTTCGCGCTGACAGTCAAGGCTGCCGCCAGGAAGCTGTCTAGCAGTTCACTTGGCTTTACGCCTAGCGCAGACGAACGTTGCAACCGGCTTCACCTAATGCGTGACGTCCGCGACGCTCCTGCGCTCCCCAATGAGCTCCGCGCGGCGATGGTAACGTGGCTGCCGGTAATGTCTGCTGGCGTCGCTTTTTTGCTCTTTTGCTTGTCTCTGACTGACCCGCCGGGCGACTCGCCAGGGTGTGGTCGTGACAAAGTTGGAAAACAAACGCCTTGACTTAGCCGCGTGATGCCTTCCAGAACTCAGCCACATGTGTCTCAATTCAGAGATTCCTGATGTCCCAATCCCGAACGTCTCGACGTGGCGATCTTGCTCCTTGTGTGGCTCTCTCGTAGATTACTTGCTTGACTGACTGTTCACTTGGTACTTTAACTGATCCTGAAGCTTTGACTCTTCGTGATCGACTGATCCAGCTGCCAGCGCTCTGCGGCCTTATATAGGGCCTCCGGGAACCGTTATTTCCCTTTTGCGCACGGCCCGCTGGATCTCTCCACTCTGGGCCCAAAGTCCGTGCCTCCTGGTTGACCCATTTGTCCTTCACGTACCGCTTCCAATCGATGCTCCGCCCACTGCTGCAGTCCCCCTGATTTCCGTGATGCTTGTGGCACGCCTGTGTGCCGCTCCACTGCCGAGATGTGGCACTTCCTCTCCCAGTCCAAAGTTCACGGGAGAGTCCAAAGTCCGGTGGAGTTCCGTTATCCTGTTTTTGCACACGGCACACTTGCCTTGCCCGCGAAGTCTCCACTCTTTCTCGATCTCCATCCTTGGTCTCCAAACTCTCTCGCTCTCCTTCATTGGTCCCCAAACTCTCTCGATCTCCATCCTTGGTCTCCAAACTCTCTCGCTCTCCATCCTTGGTCTCCAAACTCTCTCGATCTCCATCCAAGTCTCCAAAATCTCCTCGCCGCGCCGTTACTACGCGAATTCACCGCGTATCTGGTAAGCGGCCGGCCATCTGCTGCTGCTTCTATTTGTGGGGAGTTATTCAACTCCTCACAGGCTCCTTCTTGGATAACGTCAATTTTTTTATTATATTCCCTGATTACAAAGGGATTTTTCTCCATTTAGTAGCCTAGTAAAACAAGTACTTTCTGGGCTTAAAGTGCCATAGTTATTAAATATTTCTGTCTTAAAATTGGAAATTACATAATATCTATTGTTACATTTAGCGACATGATTATCAATTAACAGTTTTCCATCATTGTGTGAGATGGATCTTGCGTTATACACTTCGCAACGGTTTGTTATGATGGGGTATTTTATACACTGGTCGGCATATATATTTTGTCATAGTATTCATTTGACTATCAGACTCTTGATCTAAGTACCGGTGCATTGTTCGAACTGAAAATTATGATAAAAGAGAAGAGCAAATCAATAACTGTTAATATGCAAAATATTTCGTCAATTGTGTTTTGTTTTTTCGTTCTGCTGATAAGAATGCCAGCAAGCAACGATTTTAGCAGTGGCATATATATTTTGTCATTGCGTGATTTAGTTGTTTCTAGGCAAGCTGAAAGTGTTGTTCAAGAATATTATTACAAGTTTTCATTAATATTGGATAAAGTCGATTTTTTAATAGCCCGCTTCATTTTGGCGTAATGTCCTGTGGACAGATGAGAGTAGTTTTGAATTCCACGCATCTCAAAAGAAAGTTTTTGTAAGAATTAACAAGAATTACCGTAAAAAAAATGCTCCTGTGTGTCAAAGAGTAAGTCATGGGGGTGGAAGCGTAATGTTCTGGGGTTCAGTTTCATATAATGGTGTGGGAGACTTGGTTCCCATAGACGGATCCATGAATCAGAACCGATATTTAGAAACTTTAAACAATTATGCATTTCCCTCCGGCGACAGATTAATAGGAAAAGAATTTATTCTCCAACAGGACAACGCTCCTTGCCATAAGGCTAGAATGATTACTAGGTTTTTAAGAGATGTCGGGGTGGAAACTCTCGATTGGCCGCCACAAAGTCCTGATTTAAACATTATTGAAAATGTGTGGTCGCTAATAAAGCGAGAAAGA